ACAGCAGGGATGCGTTACTATTTCTGAAACTTAAATCTTTGCCAACGCTTGCAAATGTGTGGTTCCTTTCATAAAATTATAGCCACCCTTCTCGCCCCCCTACCAAACAGCCTCCAGCTTCAGTAGCACCACAGCTCCAACCCCATCCAGCCCCCTACTGGGTGAGCCCTGGCTCAGGCAGTGCAGAAGGAAGGGCCCCCCTCTGAGGGCCACGGCTCTTGACAGCTTGTGAAGGGCCCATGCGGGGTCAGCTTGGCTCAGCCTTATCAAACACACAGCTCTTCCCTAAGCTAGTGGAAACGGTGGTGTAGACAACACACACACACACACACACACACACACACACACACACACACACACACACACACACACACACACACACACACACACACACACACACGGACAGTGCATACCAAGTAGGGCCTTGAGATCCCCCAGCCAGCCACTATGCCAAACCTCAGCAGCTGGAGAGGTTAGACCGCCTCAAGTATCAAAGAGGAAAAACAGCAGGAGGACGGATGGAGGGAGGGATGGGGGAATGGGAGAGAAAAAGGGAGAGGAAAAAGTAGATCTTCGTGTTCACCTGGTTGTCTGCTTTAGCATCAGTTCTCCCCGGGGCTGTCATTGGCAAGGTGAGGAGGGGAAATGGTGGAACTCGATGCGGTCAGGGAGAAAGAGGTGTGAGCCGAGAGAGGCGTTTCAGAGGGTAAAGTGAAAATGATGTTGTTACCAGTTCAGATTGTAGAGTTTTACTTTCCCCCACTGGAGTGGATGTCTGCACACAGCTCATTGATCCAGACCGCTTCCATTCAGTTTCACCTCATAAAAATGTATCAACTCTAAGCAAAATGTTGTTTTTTTTTTAAGTTTTATTTCTTTAACTGTCCAATGTAGAACTTGTAGAGTGAAATGTGACTACTTTATCAGTCAGTTGGGGGTTTTGAAATAGTCGTGTTAAAATTTTCTCCTATTTTAAGTCTATTTTGAGTAAACCTTTAGAAAAGGACAAATGGAAATTCTACATAAATGACAATGATCCAAAGAAAGAATATATTATGATTATATATCCTGTCATACTCATCATTACACTGCAAAACTGTGTATTTGAAAGCAGAGAATCACAGTTATGCCCTCAGCACCCTTCAGATCAAGCTCTCTGTCCTTGAAAACACACTAGGGGTGCTGTTGCACTGTCGGTTACATGCTGGCAGGTCCTTTAAGAACAGTTCTTGACAAACTTATTTCTGCACAGTTCGTTTTCAGGAACAGTGTAATCTTGCACAATAAGTCAAGATGCAGAAATACCACATCTTCTTTATTAATAGGTTTATTTTTACTTAAACACACCTAAGGCAGATTTTTGGATATCAGTTGCAAATGAGCATTCCTTAATTGAGTAATAAATATTATAGTTGGAAATAACAATTTAAGCAACATTTTAACTTGAAATGTAAGGATATGAAAATATTTTATTAATCAAGGCTTTGCATTCAGTAAATGATCATGGAGTCTGGGTTGGCAAGGATGACAAAGCATCTATTTATTTAATTATGGGGACATATTTAGATTGTTTTCTTCAGTTATAATAGTTCTGTGGTTGATACCAAGCAGATTCATGACGTTCTTTGCACTAAATCCTTCTCACATGAAGCAATTTCTGCTGTTTCATTCTTGACAGGTTCAGTACCTTCCAGAATGAGTCCTTTCAGGGCTCTGTCACTTTAAAGTTAGAATATGGAACATTTGAATAAAAAGCTGTATAAAACATGATACATCCACGGGGCATTTAGAGGTGTGCCGAATGAATGTACAGTTTCTCCTTAAAAAGCTATAGTTAACAAAATAAATAATCTTTTTTTTTGGGGGGGGGGGGACGACACTGAATTTATGTTTACATCCACCAGCCATTAGAGGGCATTGTTGTGTTAAAAGCGAGGCTGGGGTTGTGTAAAATGGCAGACTTGACAAGTCAAGCAGCTGATTCTGAGCCCAGAAGATGTTCTAACGGTGAATACTGTAAATAAACATTAGTAGAAATGAGTCTTTATCCTGTACGATTTGTCTCTGACCATGGTGCTGAAACGTGTCAGCAGTGAACCAACATCCCAACAGCTGGAAAATTAGTCCTCTTGTTGCAATACTACCTCTGAACACCAAGGTTCGCCAGAGTGTCCGTGTTCCACATTCAACCTTAAAAAAAATAAGCTGGAGCTGGCCACGCCCACCCATCCGCCACTCAGGCTGCTATAAACTAAGCTCCAATATCTGATATGTGAGACGTGGTTCTACGATATTTTCCCCATTTGTGACATCACAGACAGGGACTTTTTGAAACAGATCATTTTAAACATGCAATTCCTAAAACCAAACACTGACAAAACTGATGAATGGATATTTTTTTCAAGTTTAGAGTGTCTACAGAGCACGCAAAATGTGGTTCAATAACAAATCCTGCAAACACCTCAAAAACTCTACATGCCACTAGCAGACATTTTCTTTTTCATAGTGAGCATAGTAATGCACCTATTCTTCCTTTGCAGACAATATTGTGGCCCGATGACAGCTGCAGTCAAAGAGGAAAAGCATCAGTACAGTTGAGACATACAGTAGGCTATGTTTTCAAACCAGCACTTGGGTCTTAGCAAAGGCCAAACAAATGCATGTGTACTGTCAGTGTTAAAGTAATTGTCAGTGTCACTGTACTCACTTACAGGTTTTGCATTCGACTTATGTTGTCACTATCTGCTGCATGCATTTACAGTTCTCGGCGTACTCTGTAACAATACCCTGCATCATCTCTCTATCCTGTGAATTGGTCTGAATATTAATCCCCAACTCCATGTGTAGCAAACGGAGTGGAGCGGCTCTGCCCTATGCAAACCCAACATGAGGCTGTTGGCAGCAAGGCTTTGGTGTCGCCGTGCTCTAATGATAGTTATTTAAACAACACGATAATGTCGGGACAAACAGATAAATGATATCACACACCAAACCGGTCTCAGAAGGAGGAAAGAATGGGAGGAATAAAGGAATAGGTAGAGAAGATGTTTGCAATTCATCGTCTGCGCTGAGGTAATTTATATCCCTCCCCTCCCCCCCACTGAAACACTAGCTCCAGTGTGTGCATTTAGCCGTGGCACTCTTCAGGGCAGATGACACGTACCGTGCGGTTTTATTTTTTAATTTTACACTGTGTCTCATTGCAGGAAACATGACTTCTCCTCTGTAACCAGAGGCAATGGAAGGGAGCGAGCAGAGCAGAGCCGGAGAAAAACGACTCTATCACTCTCCCTGTCTCTGTAGGTCATGCTTTTCCAGCAAGCTCATTGCTTTGTTTAAAGTTTGGAGCTTGTGCCAGGCGTATCCTAGCAAAACCTCTGTGTGGAGGATTTTATTCTGATTGTACGCTGGCATGCATGAATAGACTTCAGAGGAACCATAATGTCTTTTTTGAACAGTTAAAGAAGTCTTTCATTTTACGGCATCATGTAAAAGCAATCTTTGAGTGAGAAATCCCTTTCTGGTGCTAATTTAATGTTGTGTCTGGTCTATTTTCTATCAATAAAGAGTTTGCCGGTTGTGAACAGTTGTCTAGACTGTGAACCGGGAATAACCACTTGCTATTCAGTGAGTTAAAATGTGAAGCTCTGTGCATACATGCTCAACACTTTACCCAAGTGATTCTGAGCTATTGATAGAACACACTCACAAACACACACACTATTGATTCTACCCTCTCAACTCTGCTGTTCTGAACTCTTTGTTTGTGTGGGAAGCTGCATTTACATAAGAGGCTTATGTCAGCCGCCACATAGTTTTTCCTCCCTTTTATTCCGACGGAAAAAAAAAGGGACAAAGGCCATTGTCTTGTTTAGTAATGATGTTTTGGACGTCTCCAAACGGGTTCTGGAGGTGGTGGAGGTTGTGGGGAAGTCAGGGCATGATGGAGGTTTGTAGAGAGGCTGGGATAAATTCTGAGGCTAACCACTGGGCTTATAATACGAGTGTTTGTTCATGTAAATTGGGAGGAAGACTACGACCTTGCAGAGATGATGCCTGATTGACGGACAGAGGGTGGACACATAGCAGAGGCGACCTGTGGATTTTACCCAGAATCTGCAGAAACCATGAACACACACAAAAACATTACGATCTAGCTTAAATTATGTTATTAACTCAAAACAAGTCGGTTTTTTCAATACTTTTACACCTAAATGTGGATTTTAGCATTTTTATTATGTAAAATGTCTATTTCTGAACATGAAAACATAAAACTTGCAGTGTTTGTTGTTTCTAATGTGTGCATGCGATTAAGTTTCAAGGCAAGTCATTTTTCTTCGTGTTGTACCGCGTGTCTCTCGGCGTCTCGGGGCTCCAGAGTAACACCGGCTCTAGTTTCATCGGTTGTGCTTCACTGAAGCAAATAGTTGCCGTTCTTTGTGACTTTCACTCTGAGCTCAAAGCTCTCTCCTTCTCCTCTCTTCTCTCACGGAGCATCATTCTGTTAGAGCGTTTGAGAAATGATAGGTGAATGTAAAGGTGGCAGACGAGTGCAAAAGGTTAAGGAGGTCAGAAGAGCAGAATCAGACGATGCTGCTGCCTTTTCCCTTCGTGGTGGCATATGGAAAGATTTGTATTTTTTTGCAGTGCGATTTGAGTGCATGAATAGACTTTAATCCTTAGCCTGCTGAGATTCAAAGCCAGAGCATTTGCTTACACTTCTAAAAGTGTCAACTTGTTTGAACAACAGAACGCTTCTAAAATTAAATTCCATTTCAGAACCAGTCTGAAGCTTCTGACATGCAAAGTAATCAGAAATCCAATAGTGGTGATGTCTTCATGCTCTCCGTACTCATTAACAGACTTTAACCCAACATAAGCATAACCAATCAGCTTTAATGTGCCTCTTTGGCTTTTCTGATGATGTTTATCGAACATTTATCTCATTTTTTAATGTTTTCCTTCTTTTTTCCCCTCTCTCATTTTGTTGCATCTATCAGCAAGTGGTGGAGGACCTGCTAGAAGATGAGGATGAGGATTTTGACAAAGATGACAAGGTAATTATGCCTCATGTCTGACTGGGACACACACACACACACACACACACACACACACACACACACACACACACACACACACACACACACACACACACACACACACACACACACACACACACACACAACAGCCTCAGGAGGGGTTGACACTGCTTCACATACCAGAAACACAAACAGACTCACAAAATGAGTCGGTCTTCGCCTCCCTGTCCCCTCCTCCGCTCAGCGTAGTCTCACCGCCTGAGGCACAAACGCATGTTCACAGATTGCACAACCTTTTAACCTTTTTTAAAAGTTTTCTCTGAAAGAATATCCACAGCACATTCCCACCTTGTAGTTTATTGTTTTTATTGAATGCAGTCGCTGTCCTCGCATTCTCTGCCCTTTTGTGCAACGGCGTCTTGAGTTTGCATTACTAACATTGTGCTTCACACCCTTCTTCCTGGGAACATGCACACACATAAAGTGCTTAGTTAGCAATTTAGCTTCCATTCACTGTGCCTTTATGTCCCAGTAAAACAGCATCTGGGCTTGTCCAGACACTATCAGGTAGCAACAGGTGGCTGCTTTACTGCCTCTGCTCGTTACGTTGCAGGAACCGCTACTGAAACAAATGTCACTGGAAAGAGTGCAGAACCTTGTCAACGGTCCACTTGGGAGTGGTAATTGAAATGATCTAGCTCTTTATGCATCACTAAGTTGTTGTTTTTTTTTGTGCAAAAGTGTCACTTTTGAAATGAAATAAAGTGTGTGTGTGTGTGTGTGTGTGTGTGTGTGCGTGTGCGTGTGCGTGTGTGTGTGTGTGTGTGTGTGTGTGTGTGTGTTATTTTTAAACTGTGTGAAACAAGAACAAAGTTAGATGAAAAGTTAGTCTCTTGTTGAGGACTAGGACTGTGGATGTCATTATTATTTAAAAACACATCCGAGTCATTTAGGATTGCCTTTACAAATGTGGTCCCAGTGTGATGTTTGCTTCATGCATTTTCATAAATTTTTTACAGGACAGAATCGCCTTGCAAAGGACACACTGTAGGAAAAGTAAAGCTATTAAAGAGCAAGTTCACTGAGAAACCGTTTTTACTTATTTTTTTAAATGCGATCGGTCACTCTGACTCATCTTAGCTCACAACCGGTGTGGGAATTTTTGCAGCCAGGAGAGAAGACTTCACGTCTGAGCTAGTAGAAGCTAACTGCTGGCGTTAGCCACACAACAATATGGGCTATTGGGAGAGTTCTATTGGGAGAGTTCACACATCAATGTTGCATTGCTGTTAACCAGTCAGAGGTGAGAGGTTTGAAGCTCACTTCCTGCTTCTGAAGGAAGTTATTCTTTCTCCTGGTCCAAAGAGTTGGGGCCATAAACAGCATAAAGCTGTGGAAAGTAAGTTAACATCAGAGACCGGGAGTTTCTGCCATACTGACTCGTTCTATAATAAACATTGATCAGGATCCTCACGCTCACCTAAGATCAGACAAGAACATACCAAAGTGTTATAAAACTTCAGCGGATGCAGCAATTTAAAAGTGAGCAAGGTGGACTCTTGTAATATATTTAATGATAAGTAATAAAATATGTTTTCTATCAGGAAAATAAAATCTAAACAAAAGGTGTTTTTGTTACAAAGTGGACATGTGTAAAAAAAGGGGTAAAAACACACATCTATAGTGCAGATGGCCGAATATTCATCCCAGTGGAGCACCAGTCAGCCTGGCTGCCAGTTCAGTGATGAACACACAAAGATATGTGAGCATTACATCCTCTCCCACAGAGATGCAGAAGCAATGCTTCATGATTGCAAAGACTGTAAAGAAGGAGGGGTGGGCACAGACTGAAGATGTGCACCAGTGGATGTCTTTTCCTTACATATCCTCTCTAAGTGCATTTCCTACTTCCTCTCAAGGAAAAAAAATATATACAGCCATTTGAAAAGCTCCAGATTATATGAAATGCATTTGGGACTTTTATATTGAAATGAGGAAGCTTGTGTGGCTGCAGCCAGATTTGGAGCCAAACTGATTATTCTAAAAAGAAGGTCTTGCTTTCTGTTCACACAGGGCTGGGATGCTGGATAGCACGGCCACCACAAAGGCTACAATTTACCAACTCTGGCTTCATACATTTTGATCTGCTGCTCCCCTCAACTGTTAGCATTTTATTTAAGCTGCAGGGAGGTTTTCTCATCTTTTTTCCCCTTTGCATGCTTCTCCTCCCCCCCATCCCTCAATCATCTCCTTTTCTGCTTTTTCATTCTTTCTGTCTGACACATAGTCTTTCTTTTCCTCCAACCTGGGTAAGTGCAGAACAAATAGAGTCTGGAGGCTAGGCAAAGTTGCCTTTTAGGTTGGATGTGAGGTCTTTTACAGGGAATGGCTTTAGATAGTATGAGTAAGTATGAAGGACGGGTCAAAGGAGGCCTCTTTTATGGCTCAGGCCTGTAGGGGAGAGTTCGACGAGTAGAGAGAGAACAAGAGAGGAGAGGGGAAAAAAGATTAATAAATGTGCCAAGGCCTCATTTTAATTGAACTTGAAGCATATGTTGCACGTATGTACAATCTTTCCCAGATGTTTACTTCGGCCATGTGCGCGGCTCTTCCCAAAGCACCACAAGGCAGCTATTAGCTGGATAACCTCTGCTCCAGAGGCTAAATGGGGTATTACATGGCCAAAAAATAGAGCACCTGTTTTTCATTGCTGAGAGGACCCCTTGCAGGCTTTTTGCCTTGCTTTACCACATGTGTCTTGACTTAGCAGATTGTTGGGCAGACGTGAAAAGTGTCTTTCTCGTGAGCAAGCACTGATATTAGTCACTTAATCTCAATGAAGTTCCAACATCCAGGCTAATTGATTGGGATGGCTGAGTTGTTAAAGCCAACAGGCGGGCACACGAAGGATGGAAAAAAGAAAGGTAGACATGAACTAAATTTTCTCCTCCCTGATTGCCTGCTGGGTGTTTGTGTGTGTGGTTCGGTTTGAACGTCCACACGTTGGGTTTAACAGACATTTTCCACCTTCACAAATAGACAGGATACGTGGAGCATCGTCAAAAGCCTCATCATTTATCAGGAAACCATCAAACTTCAGCAAACAATACCTCCAGTCTCACTCAGTGGGGCTTAATGGAAGACTATCAATCACTGGGAGAAAAAGCAGCTCACGCTGAGGTTACAAAACACACAACTCTTGTTTTCTTAAGATCCTAAAATAAAGTATACATTTAAATTACTTTGACTGGTAAGCTATGAATATAAAATATTATCAAAACTCACTAGAAAAATGACTAAATATGCAGAAAACCAGGAGTAAATGTAGAAAAACGCTGCACACTGAATTTGTTTCAAAGGTCTCATCTATATTGTGTCCTTTGGTCCAAGGCCAATTTGAACATCTGTAGGACGTGCAGACTTGGTCCTCTATTTGGATGTCCACAATGACCTGATTTGGAGCAGGATTAGCCCATATCTGGAGGTCCTGGGGACGGCAATACAGGATGTCCAGAAGACTTTGAAAAATATAAGTCAGCCGGCATCACGTTAGAAGATGTGCAGAGATCACCTGGATAAGACGTTTCTTCATGTCTCCGCAGTAAGAGATGTCCCCAATGACCTCCAGAATTAGCCCATATCTAAATTTCGCAGAGACATCAATACAGGATGTCTACACCTCATCTGGCGTCACAGTCTGCACAAAAAACTGGACATGCAGAAATGACCCAGAAAAGACAATACGTGTCTTCGCACTGTGGGTCGCTATCTGAATACAGTTTGATCGATCTTTTTTGATTTAGTGACACAGAAACAGCCTGTTTGAATAGTTTTAACCTTATGTTGGATATTTGTGCAGCGTTTCTCTACAGTAAACGCACTAAACTGAAGTATTTTTCTAAAGATTCTCCACCAAATCCAACGTGTGAAAAAGTCATCGCAATGTTTATATACAGTTATCATTTGCACTTCTCTTCAGTTGCACTCATTCATCAGCTGAGTTCATACCAACACACGTCTCAAAAAGCAGCCTGTGATCTGAGCAGCCTGAGATAGCTAAACTACAGCATGCTCCACATTCTTCTATAAACTAGCTGCAGGGTTTTGGTGTGTAATCTAGCCCGGGATGTCTCCTCTCACCTGGGCTTGCTTTCCACAAGTGTGTGTGTGTGTGTGTGTGTGTGTGTGTGTGTGTGTGTGTGTGTGTGTGTGTGTGTGTGTGTGTGTGTGTGTGAGAGAGAGAGAGAGAGACAGGTGTGTGCAGCTCAGCTGCCTCCCACTGGGCATCTTACTGGAAAAATGGGGGGGGAGAGAGAGAGAGAGAGAGAGAGAATGAATGAATGAGAGAGATGCAGACTGAAGGAGTGAGGAGATTACCCTCACACGCTTGACTGGTCACTGAAGCGCTTGTGCTCCGCTCAGCTAGGCTCCACTAGCCTCAGGAGGACCTGACATAGATAAGATACACACTGCAATCATGTCCTGCTCAGGGGCTTACTGCTTCCTGCACCCCCTCTCCTTTTGTCACAGTGTGGATATCTATCAATATCTCCCTCACACACATGTACCTACAGGAAAGGTTTCCTCTCCTGTTTCTTGGTAAATCTCTATACTGTAAAAGCAGAGGAATCATTATTCCTTAGATTAAACACAAAAACCTAAACATGTGGATTCCTTATGATATTTTGTTAATAATGGACTTAAAGACATTAGTTTAGTGATAAAATTCCGATCTATTATCTTGTTTTTGCTCTAAGTGTTTTAGTGTTTTTAGTTAGGTCAAGGCTGTGTATGTATTTTTACGTGGATTTTAGTGAGAATTTCATGAATGCACTGCAGAATATGCATTCGTATTTTAGCAGTAAACTCAAGTGGCGGAGATAATTTACTGCTCACTGTGTCATACTTGGGAGTGATTGTTTAAAATAACCTTAAAAAGTTGTTACTATGGTTCACAAAGTTTGTATAAACTTCTTCTACCAGTCAAATATTTAAAAAGCAGTCAATTCTCTGATGTAATGTGTCTAAGGTCCTCAGATATTTGTTCAATTTGTACTTCTTTGTGTGTGTGTGTGTGTGTGTGTGTGTGTGTGTGTGTGTGTGTGTGTGTGTGTGTGTGTGTGTGTGAGTGTGTGTGTGTGTGTGTGTGTGTGTGTGTGTGTGTGTGTGTGTGTCAAATCAAATCAAATCAAATCACTTTTATTGTCACGTCACATGTGCAGGTACACTGGTACAGTACATGCGAGTGAAATTCTTGTGTGCGAGCTTCACAGCAACAGCGTTGTAAAAATACAGTAATGTAAAAACATGTAAAATATAAAAATGGCTAATCTAAATATACAAATGAATAAGTAAACAATAAGATAACAGATATAATATATACAGAGGCTGGTATGTGCAAAACTGTGGCATTAATGTACAGTATGGAGCGTGTAATGTTGGAGTTTCAGTAGTGAGGGTGAGGTGTCTGCGATGTGTTCAGCAGTCTGATGGCCTGATGGAAAAAACTGTCTCTCAGTCTGCTGGTTCTGGACCGGATGCTGCAGAACCTCCTTTCTGATGGAAGTAGTCTGAACAGTTTATGGCTGGGGTGACTTGAGTCCTTGATGATCCTCCCCGCTTTCCTCAGGCACTGCTTCTTATAGATGTCCTGGAGGGAGGGAAGCTCACCTCCAATAATCCTTTCTGCACACCGCACTACTCTCTGGAGAGCTTTGCGGTTGTAAGCGGTGCTGTTGCCATACCAGGCGGAGATGCATCCAGTGAGGATGCTCTCAATGGCACAGCGATAGAAGGTCCTGAGGATGCGGTGGCTCATGCCAAATCTTTTCAGTCTTCTGAGAAAGAAGAGGCGCTGCTGTGCCTTCTTCACTGTATTTTCCGTGTGCACTGACCACGTAAGATCCTCTGCCAGGTGAACTCCAAGGAATCGGAAACTGCTCACCCTCTCCACAGCGTCGCCGTTGATGGTGATGGGGGGGTGTATTCCTCTGCACCTCCGGAAGTCCATTATCATCTCCTTTGTCTTTGTGATGTTGAGGGTGAGACGGTTGTCCTGACACCAGTGGGTCAGGGCGCTGATCTCCTCCCTGTAGGCCGTCTCATCGTCGTTGGTGATGAGACCTACCACTGTGGTGTCGTCCGCATACTTCACAATGATGTTGGAGTTTCTCGTGGCCGTGCAGTCGTAGGTGTAGAGTGAGTACAGGAGAGGGCTCAGCACACACCCCTGCAGTGCACCAGTGTTCAGTGTCCCCCTCCAGCTCGGGCTGTGTGACTGCACTGACCTGTCCTGTGGGACCCTCACCATGTAACCCTCATGTCCATGCTGCCTCTGGAGGAGCAGATAGGAGACAAGATCTCCCGTTGTGTGTGTGTGTTTGTGTGTTTGTGTGTGTGTGTGTTTGTGTGTGTGTGTGTGTGTGTGTGTGTGTGTGTGTGTGTGTGTGTGTGTGTGTGTGTGTGTGTGTGTGTGTGTGTGTGTGTGTGTGTGTGTGTGTGTGTGTGTGTGTGTGTGAGAGAGCGTGAGCGTGAGCGTCAGAAGGCTGAACAATAACCTGTAGAATAATTAAAGTCATCATGCTAGAGCAGCTTTCTCTGTGGTGGGCCACACCAGCTGCTGCCACAATAAATAATTATAATAATAAATCTCACACAAAGTTGTGAATCTATTAATTTCCTTTCTGAACTATTTCTGTTGAGAGTTTTAATGTTTAAAATCTGTTAGACTGTTAATAACAGCAGCTACATTTAAGTTTCACTTCCTGTTCTGACTGAATGCTGCTGCAGCATGGAGGTGTAGTTCTCAGTCATCCTGGACATGATCATCCTGAGAGTTTCAGCTGAAAACAGCTGGACGTTTCTGGATCTGTTGGAGACATTTAGCCTCTCATCCCAGAGGCTTCTTCCAGACTTTGGTTGTGGTCAGAAACAAACACACTGGTTGTGCACCAAGTATTTTTCTTTTTTTCTTAAAAACATGTTTTTGTCTAAATGAAGGTGATGTTATTGTTCATAGAATTAAAATTCATGTTGAAGTTAAGAATATTTCATCAAGTAGGACCTGTGGTCAGCTAGCTCATGTAAAACATGTCATGTCTTGAAAGAATTGGAATCGGGAATCGAAAGGAACCGGAATTGAAACAAGAAATTGGAATTGGAATCATTCAAAATCAAACGATGCCCAACCCTACGCCACGTTTAGAAAAAATGCGTATTAGAGAACACCCGGTTATCCTCGTGCACGCTCTGTTTACATGTAGCTGCCGGCCTTGCAGCACTTTTTCTAGCAGTAATCTGAAAAGAATTTCTTCAAACAGCATGCCGAACTTTAGCTTACCTGTTGAACAGAAAACCGACGGCAGAGGCACCTGTGGGGAGCCCGACCTTCGCTTTGCACAGGAAGTGAGAACTACCCAGCAACAAGCACGTACGACGTCGCCCTTGCGTGAATGGTTCACCAGAATGATTGACGGTTATGCAGACCAGTGGTTCAGATGATCCACCCGGAAGAAAAAGATTCTCTGTCTTTAAATAGTTGAAAAAAAAAACGTTTTTAAATGTATTTATATTTATATTACATTTTAATTGGTCTGATGTGCTTTGTTTGCTAAAACTGCACTTTTTTGTCATCATTACTCCTACAAACAGGCTAATCAGTGTTGCAAGTCCTTGCAAATGGCCAATATGAGCAGACATGTACAAGTCCAACCGTCTTACCAATAATCATCCATCCATTTTCATCTGCTTATCCGGGGTTGGGCCACAGGGGCAGCAGCCTAAGCAGAGATGTCCAGACTTCCTCTGGAAGAATCCCAAGGCGTTCCCTGGCCAACCAAGTAACATCCCTCCAGTGTGTCTATGGGACTTCCTTTAGGTCTCCCCCTGGTTGGACGTGCCTGGAAAACTTCACCAGAAAGGTGTCCAGGAGGCATCCTAACCAGATTCCTGAGCCATCTCAACTTGCTCTTCTTGATGTGGAGGAGCAGCAGATCTACTCCAAGCCCCTCCCAGATGACCGAGCTTCTCACCCTATCTTTAAGGGAGAGCCCAGCCACCCTTCAGAGAATACTCATTTTGGTTGCTTGTGTCCGCAATCTTGTTCTTTCGGTCCCTACCCAAAGCTCATGATCATAGGTGTGTGTAGGAACGTAGATCGACAGGAAAATCATGAGCTACGCCTTCCGGCTGAGTTCTTTCTTCACCTTAATATTTATCTTGGTAAAAACATCTCTTTTGTCCTCATTTCTGTCCATCTTTTTCTTAGTTGTCATATTGGTGAACTTTTTAACATTTAATGAAGCACATTTACTTTGACAAAGGTTCATCGTCAGAGTCCCAGTCGCAGCACCGTGCCGATTGCTTTGATTCAATAGTGTAATTGGACTAAAGGGAACTCTGGGAATTCTATCAATGCTCTGACTAAAGTAATAACTAAATGTGAGTGAAATGTTGTCTTGTGGTGCAGCGCAGTTGTCTCCAGGTGTTGGGAGGGTTTAGCTGTGGAAGGGAAAAGGAGAAGGGAGCAATACGGAGGGAAAAAAGTTGAATGTCTGCGTTCTTTTCTTCCTGCCGCCTGTGAAGGATGACAAGCGTCACGGTGTAAAAAGACGCTTTTGACTCATCCGCTTTATTTCTCTTCCCGTCTCACTGTCTTTTTCTGCTGCTCAGCAGAGATGCTGGTAGGAACTGCATTTTAATCATGTTTGGCTAATAGAGGAAGGAATGAGAACAAAAAGGAGGGTGAAAGAAGTGTGGAGGGTTATTGTCTCTCTATGCAAAACATTGTTTGTTTATTTTTTCTGAATTTATTCCCCCCCCCCCCCCCCCCCCCACACACACACACACACACATCTGATGGATCATCTCTCACTGTGCATTTGCTCTTGGATACACATTTCTCTTTGTCTTTTAGCTTTCTGTCTTTCTCTGCCTCTTCACCGCTTCCGTATCACTTTTAATTTACCCAAGGCCATTGTTATTTAAAATGAAATGTGATGATTGTTTCGTCTTATTTTGAATGTGGCACTTGCTTGGTTGCGACTTTGCAAAATGCTTAACGTACTCAAGGACATGCAGGGCTCACTTATTTGGTGATAAACCATTTTTTAAATTCACTTCATTTAAATTTGAAACAAAGGTGAGTGCATATATCTTCATTGCAAGGTTAAAAGACCCAGCTTATATTGTTGCTGCATTTGGAGCGAAGAATGTACAAAACCCAACATCCACATTGTGTGACACTCATTTTAATTTCCATGGCTTGTAAAAAAGAGAAAGTCTTACTGTAATTTATCCACAAGGACCCTAAACACGACCCCTGGGAGGACAGCTGTGATAAAAACCATATCATTGAGGATATGTTGGCTTCCTGGCACTTTGAGTGGATTCGAGCGATGGTGGTAAGTGGACATGTGCGTGTGTGGCTCTGGCACGGACTCCTGCTGGTGTGTGTCGCTGTCTTCCAGTTTGCAATTTAGCTCATTGTTTGTCCAGCAGCCCCTGTTCGCTGTCCCGTCAGGGTTTGTGTGCTCTGTCCTCTGTCCGTGTCTCGACTAGAAGCCCCCTACACACACACACACACACACACACACACACACACACACACACACACACACACACACACACACACACACACACACACACACACACACACACACACACACACTGCACATTTGGTCCAAACCTGGTGCAAGGGCTTTTTGCCTGTTCTTCAGGGTGATGGGAAGTTTAGTGAGCTTCAGCATGGAAAGCTACTCCTGTCTCCTGTGTGGCATCCCTGTAGCCCTTTAATAATAATAATAATAATAATACATTTTATCTCAAAGCGCCTTTCAGGACACCCAAGGTCACTTTACAGAAAACACGTAATAAAATACAATAAAACAATAATAAAACCCAAACAAGAAAAAACAAAGAGAGAAACAGTTCAATAAAATCAGAGGTTGTAGGCAGATTTAAACATGTGTGTTTTGAGTTTTGATTGGAAAAGGGTAAAACTGTCGATGTTCCTGATGTCTGGGGGAAGTGAGTTCCAGAGACGGGGAGCAGAGCGGCTGAAAGCTCTGCTCCCCATGGTAGCGAGACAGGCAGAAGGAACCGCAAGATGGATGGAAGAAGATGATCTGAGTGAACGGGATGGGGTGTGAATACTTATAAGGTCTGAGATATATGGAGGAGAGAGGTTGTGGATAGCTTTGAAGGTATGGAGGAGAATTTTGAAGATGGACCTGAATTTAACTGGGAGCCAGTGAAGCTGCTGGAGAACCGGGGTGATGTGGTGAAAGGAAGGGGTTCTGGTGATAATACGGGCTGCTGAATTCTGGACCATTTGCAGTTTATGAAGGAGTTTGTTGGGGAGACCATAAGGAAGTGAATTGCAATAGTCGATACGGGAGGTGACGAGGCTGTGGACGAGAATGGCGGCAGTGTGAGGGGTCAGTGAGGGACGGAGACGGTTAATGGAACGTAGATGGAAGTATGCTGACCGAATTAAGTTATTAATGTGAGCTTGAAAAGAAAGTGAGCTGTCAAGAATGACACCCAGACTCTTGACGTGAGGGGAGGGGGAGACTATGGCGCTGTCAATAGTTAAAGAAAACCTGTCAGATGTTGAGAGGGTGGAGTTAGTGCCAACTAGAAGAAGTTCAGTTTTGGGACCTTTAGGACCGTTGTGCTGCTCGGTGGTAGCTAGACAGAGGTTTGACGGTGTGTTTATTGTGTATTTGGACTTTTGACTCTGCAGGAATAAATCGCGACAGCGGTAGTCAGTTTAGGGTATTTTTTTCTTTTGTCATAGACAAAAATGTGTAATGGTTTGAGGTGTAATAAGTAAGAATTTTACAGTGAAATAATCACAAAAATGTCTAATATCATGTTGGAAGGAAGGCTACACTGAAACTGATTTTGTCTCAGTCAGCTGTGGAGGATGTCAGTTTTCTCCTTTCAAATGGGCCAAAGAGGGATGTAGTCTTTGTTTATAATCTGAGCCCGTGGGGTTGGCGAGTCTGCACCAAGCTAACGCTGCAGCTCTGACATTTGTAATTCAACACAGGTGGTAAAAAGTGCAAGTATTACAATGAGCTGCCCATACGTTATTTTTTGTAGCCTCAAGAAGCCATGACATCATTTTGTTTTACTCAAAAATCAGGTGAAGAAGGCTAGAGGCTAATGTATAGCTAATGATGCAAATGGAGAATAAGAAAAAACTGTTTGAAGAAGAAGAAGAAAATATCATTTCTATAGCACCTCTCAAGATAAAAATCACGAGGCGCTTCACAAAAACAAAAAATGTAAAAATGTGAAAAAGAATTTAGAAAATGGTTAAAAATATATTTTAAATTAGCGAAAAATAGACAATTGTGATTAAAAAACAAAATGTTAAGAAAGAGAGAGAGAGTGAATAGGAAAGAGGGAAATCAGTGGATCCTGAGGAAGGTGGAATAGGTGGGGAGAGCAGAATAAAGAAAGGGGGTGAAGAAGGTCATACAAAAGCCAGCTTGAACAAGTTAGTCTTTTTAAAGGAGACCACTGAGTCCACTGATCTCAGGCTCAGGAGAGAGAGTTCCAGAGTCTGGGGGCCACAGCAGCAAATGATCTGTCACCTTTGGTCTTTAGCCTGGTGCGCTGCACAACCAGTAGGCTTTGATCACTGGACCTCAGGGACCTGCTGGGGGTGTAGGGACTAAGAAGATCACCAATGTAAGATGGTGCTTGTCCATGTAAGGCCCTATAGACCAGAACCAGGATCTTGAAATGAACCCTGAAGTTGAATGGCAGCCAGTGAAGCTGGAGGAGAAGCGGGGTGATGTGGGTGTGTTTGGAGAACTTGGTCAGAAGCCGAGCACAGGCATTCTGAACCACCTGTAGACGGTTCAGGGAGGTTCTGCTCAGACACGTGAAAAGAGAGTTACAGTAGTCTAAGCGTGAGGAGAAGAAGGTGTGGAGAACTGTCTCAAGTTCAGAGTGGGACATAATGGGACTCAGCTTAGCAATGTTCCTGAGATGGAAGAAGGAAGAGCGAACAAGAGAACTGACATGAGAATCCAGGGTGAGAGCTGGGTCAAAGGTCACACCAAGATTCCTGATTGATGTTTGGTGTGAGAAGCAAGCTGGCTAAAAGAGTCTCTGACTTTGGGAACCAGCTTGTCTGGGGCACCGATGAGGATCTCCAAAAATATCTCAAGCTACTTTTTCATTTACCAACAACTTCGTGTTCAAGTGAAATTTATCAACCAATCAACTTACTGTGAATGACTCGTCGTTTAGAATCTTCTGGCGCTGATCCGTAGCTGGCTACAGTTGGTCTGAGCGGATTTGTTTGTTTTGATACGCGGACTGCAGTACCCACATTTGACCTCAGGATGCCAGTTTGGCAACGATGACAAGGTACCTGCACCATAATTGGAGGGTTGCAGGTTTGAGTCCTATCTGTCACAGAAGTTGTGTCCTTGAGCAAGGCACTTAAAGCAATTTTGGAAAACAAATTGTGTAAAACCTTTTTTTTTCATGCCTCTTAACATTGTTCTGACTTAGGACAGCTATAAATATATTGTGGAAATTAAACAAAAGGAAAAAAAATATAATAAAGTGGTTTACTCTCATTTGTCTATAAACCTCCACCAATAACACCTTTTGGACCAAAATCAACTATTGGACCATCCGGTTGTCAGTCTTGCTGAACCACCGCACATTCATGGGTCCTCCATTCATTACACACTCACGTATTTAGCAACAGAACATCACTGGTGTGAGAGGTTCTCCACTCAATAATATCAGAAAAGCAGAAACAGCCGGCTGCTACCACTTCTACTGTAGGACAAACTACCTGAGTACCAAAATGACAAACACAATTTGAACAACAAAAGACGCTTGGACCAAGAAAAAAACGGCTGATGTTTAGTGCTTGTTTCGTCTGGCATTGCGGGTTTCCAGCAGAAACGTCTCAGGGAATATAACCAAGGGGAGGGCCGATTGTTCCGTGAACCTAGCTTGTTGTCACATTTGCCCTCCTTGCCTGCTGGTGGTGGACCAGTGGCACCAGTGCTTGGCAGCCTAGCTTCTGTCAATGCGACGGAGGGCAGCTGCAGCTACATTGTAGCTAATCACCACCAGTGTAGGAAAATGTGTGTGAATGAGTATATTGTAAAGCACTTTGGGGGGTTATAGAGCCCTAGAAGGCACTAAATAAATACAGGCTGTTCACCATTATCACTTTGTGCACCTTTAAGTGTGCATTTGCCCAGAAGCTGTTACAAAGACATTAGCAATAAGAACAAACATATTTGTCTCTAACTTTCTTGTGTTTGTGTGGAGGCTGGTGGGGGATGGGTTTGTGGGGTGGGGGGGCTGCTGGAACAGGTCGTGGGTGCTTTTTTCCATGAGAGTTGCTTCAGAAAAAGCAAAACTACTTCAGAGTTTTAGAGCAAATCCCAATGCTAATTTTTTCATAATGCAACAACGTCTATTCCCTCTAGTGTTATTGTTCCTAATCACATAGAGACAAGTGGCTGAACCAGCTGAACTTTACCATTGATGAACTATTAATCAAAAGATTACGCTTCTTGTACCGTAGGTGAGGAAGGGTTTTACTTCATGTTTTTGCCAAAGTAAACCTCTTTGAGACTCTCACCGATGTTGAAGATGGCACGCGCGCAGCCCTCGCGGTCTCTCATTGGACAGAATGTGGAGCACAACACTTGACAGCAGTGTCGTCTGAATTTGAAAGTCAGACATGTAAGGAGGCAGCCGCCACCTTTTCTTTTAACAAGAGTCATAAATCTGTAATGAGCACAGAGAGGATGCATATTTTATTTACTTTTTGAAGAAGTGATCCCCTTTCTTCATGGCATTGTACTCTGTTGTTTTGTCTTCTTCTTCTTTCCTTCCAAAACAAAGTTTAAGACTGTGGGTTTTACATTCGTCTCTACCGCTTGTGTCTCCTAACATGCATATGTAATTAAACGTCAAAGTTAGCAGTTTTGGGTGCAGAAGTAGTGAAATATTTTTAATTTAACCTCACATATATGAACAAGAATTAACGTAGTGAAGAATGTTGTCAGTTTAAATCACGCTAAAGCGTGCACGGACGCTAATTTAAGAATGGCCAAAACAGAGACCATTGTGCAGCAGCGTGTTTTAAACCCAGACAGACTGACTGACAGAAAGAGGTGGGTGCTTTGGAACAGCTAGAATCAGGCCAGCAGCAGACAAGAGTAATAACATCCCATTCATCACACCCTGCCACCCTGGATCCCGGGAAGGACAGGGGAAGGAGAGTGCAGGGGCAGGGGAACAGAGGTGAGGCAGGGTGGGTGGGGGGGGGGGGGTCGGGCGGAGGGGTGGAAGAGGTGATCAGGAGCAAAAAAGTAGTCTCGTTCTAGTCATTTATGTGTGTGTTTGT